GGTGGCCTGCACCCGAGGCAGGGCCGGGCCGGGGAGCCGGGGCCGGACCGGGCCGGCTCCGCAGACCGGGGACAGCTGTCCGGGGAGTCCTTCTCCTGGGGTAACCCCGATGATACCGTTGCAGGTGCGCTTGGCAATAGCCGAAAAAGCCCTGAAGTGCGAAGAGCACGATGTAAACCTGCCGCTGAGCGAGCACAACGAACCATGGTTCATGCGCTTAAATTCCTCTGGAGAAGTACCTGTCCTGATCCATGGGGAAAACATCATTTGTGAGGCAACGCAGATTATCGATTACCTTGAAGCGACCTTTGTAGATGGTAATCCCTTAGGCGTTTCGGTGTGAAATCCTTCCCCACGTACCCGTCATGTGCAGCGGTGTTGTGGTCAGCTCCGTATCGCTACGTTTCGTTCAGGGATGATACCGTTGCAGGTGCGCTTGGCAATAGCCGAAAAAGCCCTGAAGTGCGAAGAGCACGATGTAAACCTGCCGCTGAGCGAGCACAACGAACCATGGTTCATGCGCTTAAATTCCTCTGGAGAAGTACCTGTCCTGATCCATGGGGAAAACATCATTTGTGAGGCAACGCAGATTATCGATTACCTTGAAGCGACCTTTGTAGATGGTAATCCCTTAGGCGTTTCGGTGTGAAATCCTTCCCCACGTACCTGTCGCGTGCAGTGGTGTTGTGGTCAGCTCCGTATCGCTACGTGCTGGTTCGTTCAGGACCAGAAAATATTTATAGTCTCACGAGTAAATGGGCTCTCCTAATAGTTGGTGGTATGGGGTAAAAACACGTTCCTTTAAAATGAACTGAGGGCCTTCCAGCACCTTTACAAGTAGCTGTGAGTGAAAACCTACCACTGTCTTCCTCACCCCTTCAGGAAGGATGGAGAAATCAGTTCAGTAATGGCAGCACCGCGCTGTGCTAACCCTGTGGTAAGACTGCCGTGAAAAATAATGTTTTGAACAGAGAGCTGCACAATTGCTGTTGTTGGGCAGGTCCTGCTTCTCTGTGAGAAAAAAAAGATAGATGCTTAATTCCAGAATAATCGTGGGTGGAGAAAAGGAATTAGAATGAGTAAATTATTTTTGGAGCCAAAATGGAGCGAAGAGGTAAAGAAGTAGGAAGAAAGAACTCAGAAGTGATCGCGTGCAGGCTTTTGAAATTGTTTGTGTCTGTATTGCCAGAAAACAGACTGCCTCAATTTTTGAAGGAAATGCAGAGTTGTATTTTTTTAGGTGTGAAGAGGCAGCATTTTGTGTTTCAGGGGTTTAGCGCTGCCGTTTCTAAGGCATGAAGAAAACTTCATTGTTGCGTGAACATAATATGTATTTAATGCTGGCGTTTTCATCAAATGAGGGGCCAGGTACATCAAGGGCAGGGTAAAACTCAGTGGTGTGCAGGAATACTTCTCATCATGCTTTGAGTAGGATTCCTGTACTATAATTTTTGCAGCATTGCAGCTGCAGTAATGTTTCAGCCGTAACAACTTACTAGAACTTCAGTTGTGCCCTACTGTGAGAGGGCTAAAGGGTTGTGTGCCATGGTCGCCCATTCCTAGAAGTACAAAATAGATGCTGAATCCAGTTTTCTGATTTGAAGGCCTCTTAAATACGTGTTTATGTGGGTTGCTGCATAGGAATTGGAATTATTCAAACGTTTTAAAATGAAGTACGTGTATATGCGTTTCTGTGAGCTGTGATAACATTATTGAGTTACGGTGGGGAACAAGTGAATCTTTCTTAACTGTGGCTGTGCCATCTGTGCCGGTTGGATGTAACCGAAGTAACTTTGGAAATACTGCTTTTGGTCAATTACATGGTTCTTCTTTTCTTAACTTCATTTTTAACTTTATGTTGCAGAGGAAGTACCAAGATTAATGCCAGAAGAAGGGAGCATGTATTATCCAAGGGTGCAACACTATAGAGAGCTTTTAGACTCCTTGCCTATGGATGCCTACACGCATGGCTGCATCCTGCACCCCGAGTTAACGGTGGACTCCATGATTCCAGCCTATGCTACCAGCAGAATTCGTAGTATGTACTGGTACAGCTCTGAATGCTTATCAGTTAATAGGATGTTGCATTACATTCATCTTGTGTCTTCAGTGCACCTTGAGCAGAATATATTGAGCACAGATTTCCAATTTTAGTTGCAGTCCTTGATAATTTGCGTGTATACTTTTTATTGATTTTGTAGTCTGTTATGATTTGAAAATGGGAAAGAGGAAGTGTCATTTTTGAGCTGTCTGTGGAATTAATTTTCCTAATGATTGAAAATGTGCTTCTTGTGCATAACAGAAAATGGCAGCTGTGACAGCTGTGAGTATTTTATTTTCTGATCTTGCTGCTTATGCTTATAAAGCAATTTATAGGGAACAGCTCTATTACTGCTCACATCGAACCACCACACTGAAGGAAACCCATTTTTTTGTGACTGTAAACTTGTAATAAGTTTACCTATTAAATTAAAGCAATTGCTTTCCTCTCAAAGTGGTGCAAATGCAGATTAGCCTCAATGAAACAGTCTGTTTATCTAATATATTATAAGGCCCTTTTTGTCTGAGGAATGTACTAGTGTCCACTTGGTGCTGGGGGTAGGGAGAAAAAAAAACAAACGGTGGTCTGATAGAATCAATGGTAAAATGTTCTTTGACTTCCTTGGGATCGGTATTTTACCTGATGGATTTTTATATACATACCAGTTTCCCATGAAAAAATACATTAAGGGCAGAGGAAATAACTGTAGATTATGTTGCACAGTCCCCGTTATAACAGAGAACCTCCTGAAATGAACTCCTGTTTCAAATCCAGTAGTTTGCAGAAATACTTAGTTTAAACAACGTTCAGTGATATTCAGAAAAATCCTTGGCAAATAATCTTTCAGTTCTCATAGCTCTTTTTTTTTCTTTCCACTTTGGTATCAGATAGGGAGATAAATATTTAATTCTTTAGTCTTGGTTTTTTCCCTGTGTGTATGTCCAAAGACTCCAGCATTACTTTCAGGCACAGAACTGCACTGGGAATCCTCGTTCAGCTGGTCGTGGATCATGACCTCAGTCTAGCTTTTCAGAACTGCTTGCAAACTTAGAGTCCTCTCGCCAGGAAACATGGCCTGTATCTTTTGCTTCAATTTATATTTTACATTGGACTGTGTTGAAACATCAGTTGGTTGCTTAGGGCCAGTTTATCAACCAGTCCAGACCACTGGGTATCAGTGCCATGTTTTTTCTTGATTTATGTCCCTTCTAGTCTTTGTACCGTGGCAAACTTTAATTAATGCTTTTATGTTTCCTTCTAAGTATTACGAAAGAACTAAATAGTTCTAGGACAAGGATCCAATCCCGAGAACACGGCTGGATGACAATTCCCTGTTTACAGTTATGTTCTGAGATCTCTGATTTTTTTTTTTGTCAGTCAGTGCTTTGTATCGTGTTGATTTTTTTGTATGGTATTTTAGAATGCTCCGTAGAACAAAGTCAAATACTGCAGAGACTTTGAAATGTAATACAACTATACTATTAACAAATTCATAATATCATAAAAGCTGATACTGTGTTACTTTGAGAAGTTCTGTTTCCAACAAACTGTGTTATCCTACTCCTTAAAATTTTTGGCAAGTCAGTTCTCATATTAGCCACGCCGTTGTGTTGTCAGAAGTGAAGTCAGGCAGTTAGTTTTCTTTACAGTTGCATGCGTTATCCTTTATAAAACATCAGAGCAGAATTTGTTTTCTTTCTGTCTGCTGGAAACTTCTTGAGCATTGCAAAGTATTTAGAAGTCAGTGTTGCTGGTCCAATGATCAATGGTTAAAAATAAATTTTTTGTAAAAAAGTATCTGGAGAGATTTTAGAATGGGTAATTTCAGGAAGAGTAATTAGCATTCTTTTTTTTACTGAATTAACATGAATTATTCTCTTGTATCAGTGTACTGTCTGTTTTTTGTTTCTTTTTTTTCCCCCCAAATGTGGATGCTGACTGTTTATTGAACAATTGTACTTTACTCGTAGGCATTATTGATATTTTTTCTGTTTTCACACAGTAATAGTAGTCAGTGCATTTGTTACGGTTCACTTTACAATGTTGTCTTGTGTTCTGCTGACTGTATGTATTCTTCCCCTCTAGCTTCTAGTTGGTATAAATTGCTGTCAGTTTACACACACATGTTCATATTGGTAGAGCTAAAATTACTACTTGTCTAAATTGGGATATTTTCTTATCTTTTTATACTTAAAGCATAGCCTGCTTTCTTGATTTGAGGCATTTTTTTGAATAGCTCATGGATGTTCCTAAACAATTCCTTTGCTTGTTCAAACTTCTCCCGGATGGTTTAGTTTTCAGCTTTGAAAAGCTGATCTTTTTCAGCCTGCTAGATATCATAAGCCGCCAGCCAGTTATGTATTATGTTTATGCATACCAAATCCAATTAAGTAATTAATTGCATATGTAAGATTTTAGTTGTGTGATAACATCCTTCAATTTCTTCATATACTATGTTGGAAGATGGCTTTCACAGTCACGTCAGGTTGAAACAAAGAATATATAAAACAGTGAATTCATTATTCTCTAGCAAGAATTTTTTATCAGTTTAATTTATAAGACTTAATTCAAACTAATCTTAATTATCAAGTACAAGTGAGAGGTGATTCATGCCCTATAACTATTCTTTTCTTCTCAGATTATTACTAGAAATATTTATTTTTAGAAGATAACTTATTATTCACTATCTTTTGGTATTCTAGGTCTGTAAGTATGGCATTTTCAAGCAAAGCCCCATTTTAAGGACAGAAAAGGCTATCTATACACATGTAGTAGAAATCAGTAAAATTATCTCAAATTTTTCACATCATTCCTTCTTTAAGTCATGTAATGAATCTTTTTCTAGAACATCCATATACTCTGTAATGAACATTTCCAAAAGGGATCACAGATTTTGGTGTCACATTTTAGCTAACTGAAAACACCTTCGTTCCATATTCAGTGGTATTTAGGCTTTTGTTGTGGAATTATGCATGTGACCTACAGTGACCTACAGAAAATCTCATTATGGGCCTGTCTGCGCTTTCACAGCATGAAAAGTGTGTTAGGAACCCAGGAACTGAGGTACAAAAACATTGGAGTCCTAAGATATTTGTAGTAGAATTTCATGGATTTAGCACAGTTTTTGGCAGCAAAATGGTTTTATCTGAATAAGAGAAAAATATTAACAAGAATTCCTCATTCTTGCCTGGCAGATCACCAATTTATAGAGTTCTTTGCAAACTGATGAGAAGAAGGTGTGGTGGGGTCAATTTATGCAGCAGTTAAGTTTTCCAAAACATGGTGGTTTTGAATCCCAACTTGGTGGTGATGCTTCATTGAAGTACCACTTCCCATTTCTTTGCTGTGGTATTGGTACACAAGCTATTGATTAGTTCCTGTGGGTTACGTTATGGGTACGTTTGGATATCTAATGTCATTCCTTTGGTTTTTTGTATCAGGCCAAATAAGTAACACAGAATCAGAGTTGAAGAAACTTGCGGAAGAAAATCCAGACCTTCAAGATGCCTATATAGCAAAACAGAAGCGCCTTAAAGTAAGAAAACTCTTTGTATTCCCCCGTTTATTACGAGCTTGTTAGTGTCAGGTTTTTTCTGCCACGATGTAAACATTTGTTTCACCTGTCATTACCAGTAATGTCATGCAGTGGTTTAACCCTACAAGGCATGAAGCAGTCTGTCCCCCAGATCAGCTACACACTTCAAGTGTGTGCTGAAGTATTGGACTGGTCCCACTGACTCCAAAGGACACACATCTGTGCTGGTGTTGGGCTGTTGAGCACCCTGCAGGGTGAGGCAAACCTTGATGTCTAGCATCTCTAATGTTTTTCTTCTGTTATGTGAATTGTCACCAGTATCCAAATGGTATCCAGCTGACTATGTGGAGAAAATAATCGCATTTTATGAATAAGCACTGTAGTATCTAAGTAAAAGTTTCTCTGATAAAAGTATAAACTCTGTACAATGATTAAAATGCTAACCTGTATATATATTTAGTCTAAACTGCTGGATCATGATAATATAAAATACCTAAAGAAAATATTGGATGAACTGGAAAAAGTTTTGGATCAGGTTGAGACTGAATTGCAGCGGCGAAATGAGGAAACACCAGGTAAGGAATTATTCTTGCTAAATCCTGTTGATGCTTATGTTTGGGGAGACTGAGTAAACTTGTTGACAGCACTATTATAGAACTGGTTTTAATGTATCCAATTTGATACTTTTAGGATATACTGATCTAACATCACAGAAGGGATCAATACTGTTTTAAATACTAGTTTAGTTTACTGCTGCTGTCATTCAGTTCTCACTGTCTTATGAGAGTGCTTGATCACATTTTCAGCATAGTGAGTATAATTAGCTGCACAATTTTGCAGTATTTTATCAACAAAATAAGAAAAACCTTAACTACAGAGTGTTATTCTTGATGTTGTAGTTGTAGGCCTCAGTTCACTATAATGATCACGACCTTAATGTTTAACACAGGTTTATTACAATCTTGTGTAAATATTGTGCTGATATTTGTGGTATATGCAGAATTAGCAATCTGGATAAGTGCTCTAATCATTAAGCAACCCTCCTCCCCCACCCTCTTGGAAAGCAGTGATGTTTACCTGCCATCCACCCAAATGAGAGTTGAATTTTGTTTAAATGGGATTAGTCTTCTGCTTATTCAGAGTCTGGTCCAACTCCCAGTGGTGCTAATAGGAATCCTTCCTCTGACTTCACTGGGAGCTGCATGAAGCGCCAGTCAATATCAACTGCATCTGCTCAAATCAATAACTCTTTGCATTTGGCTCTATAAATAGCTGTTGTAATAATCCCACCTGAGGTGGGTGTCGGTCTCTTCTCCCAAGTAACTAGCGATAGGATGAGAGGAAACAGCCTCAAGTTGCGCCAGGGGAGGTTGAGATTGGACGTGAGGAAAAATTTCTTTACTGAAAGAGTGGTTAAACATTGGAAGAGGCTGCCCAGGGAAGTGGTTGAGTCCCCATCCCTGGAGGTATTTAGAAGATGTGTAGATGAGGTGCTTAGGGACATGGTTTAGTGGGCATGGTGGTGTTGGGTCGATGGTTGGACTCAATGATCTTGGAGGTCTTTTCCAACCTTAATGATTCTATGATTCTATGAATTATCAGTTACTATCAAGACAGTAGATTTGAACCAGCGATTGAAAATCTAGGTTAAATTTTCTACTGACTCAACAGCGAAAGAGTCACAGAAAATGCTTTAACTCACAAAGGATGGTAGGATTTTGTTCAGCAAACCAAGTCTGTCACCATTTCCAGCAGCCTGTTTGCTTTCTCTGCTAGATAGCCTTTCCAAGGAGTCAACTGATACAATGTTGATGAACTTACGAAAACCACCAGGATCGCAGGATTTAGTAAAACATGGCTATTACCTGCCTCTTGGAATTTTGTCTGAGGTATTCACATTTTTGAGGTTTGTGAGCAATGCTTCTCCAGGTCCTGGTCAACATCTGAACTTCTGCTTCTCTTGCTACTGCTCAAATCCCTCATTCACTTACTGCTGCTGCCACTGCAGGCGTCTTTCTTTCACACAGGTTAGCTTCTGTGGTCTTCCTTTCCATCATCTTATTTACTTAATGAATCCCCAAGTATCCTTTCAGCAACATAGGATATACTCGTTCTCTGCCGAGGCCTTTCTTCCAGACCTGCATAACCGGTTGAAATGGACTGGTACCGCTGGTGTGCCAAACTGTTGCTTTCCTCTGGTGGCAAATGAGTTGAAAGGGACATTGCAAAATTTCTCTGTTTCCACAGAGGTGCTACTGAATGTTCATGCCAGCGCTTTTGTGTGCCTGTTGTGTGAGAAGAACTGCAAAAGGTTGCAAATGAGGAGGGAACAGCATAGTACTGTTTGAGATCTAGGCTAGAGCAGAGTACTCATGCTGGCAGCTATGCTAACTACCAAATTTCATATCCTGGGTTTCAAAAGCTCTCAGTGTAGTCAGTACAGGTCAGCCCTTTTAGGTGGTGGTGGTTCCGATCACTGAACTTAGAGGTGTGATGCTGCCTGGCAGTGCCTGCTCTGAGCCATCCCCGGAAGATTCACCCTTTTCCTTTGACTGGAGAGGGAGCCTGGGGTCTCCATCTGTGCTGCTGACTAATGGTGGGCAGTGTGAATATCCATTGCTTCTCAAACTTCTCAATGTAAAAACCCCATGGTTTGTGGTCTAGGAGGCACAAAGGAAGGATGGGTAGACAAAGTCTGTCTTCTCGCTGAGCTGGTGTGTTTGGTGCAGGTCAGTCATCTGATCTGTTTCTTTTTGACTTGAAAGTCTCCAGCAAATTAGCAGTTATTGAGTGAATGCCATAGAGCTGAGTGACACAGACAAGATGATAAATTCTTCAGACAAGTGGTAGCTTTTCAGTAAAAGCTAAACTGCCTTCCTCCTTTCCACTCCTGTTTAATTTAATCCAGATTTGAGAAATGTAGTTGAGGAAAATAAGTGTTTACTGTGGGTTTTAATTTATGAACCTGAAATGTGGCTCTTTTTTTGTTAACAAATGTAAGCCAGGCTGCTGAGCCTAAGACTTTACAATATTGTGTGAAGAATGGACAGGGATTAGTAAAATGTTCATTGATTAAAGTCATATCTTAGCTGAAGTGTTGGTGGTATTTATTAACAGCATTTTGAAATAGGACTAAACTAAATGTTAGCCCATGGAGCCCATGTATTCCATTAGCTCCTAATTCTTTATGTTTTATCTCTGCTTAGAAGATGAAAATCAGCCTTGGCTCTGTGGTGATTTCTTCAGTCTGGCAGATGTATCGCTTGCCGTCACATTGCATCGCCTGAAGTTTCTGGGATTAGCAAGAAGAAACTGGGGAAACGGAAAGCGGCCCAACTTGGAAGCCTATTATGAGCGTGTCCTGAAGAGAAAAGCATTTTACAAAGTTTTAGGACACGTCAACAATATATTAATCTCGGCCGTTTTGCCAACGGCGTTCCGCGTGGCCAAGAAAAGGGCGCCCAGGGTTCTCGGCACCACCCTGCTGGTCAGCATGCTGGCGGGAATAGGTTACCTTGCTTTCATGTGTCTTCGGAAGAGGTTTGCCAACATGATGTTATCGATTAGAACCAAGCAAAATTATTTTTAGATCCGTCTGTCCCTGGTGGTGAGTGAAGGGCATCTCTACCCCCCAGGAAAATATCCCCAATAAAATATAAACGTAGAAGAAAGGTTATGTCTGTGAATTAGAACACTGTCACACAGTAATCGTCTCCTGTTGTTGTATAATTGGATTGGCAATTGCTGAGATATTTGTGGAAAATGTATGTTGGGGGGACAACAAAGGAAAGAAGAGACTTTCTTTTCAGACAAGGACCTATAAGGGCTGTAACAGTGCTTTGTTAAAGTGGTTATTGTCTCCTTTACCCAGTAGCTGACCTAATTATAATGCTTTTATTTAATAGATATGCAGCAATGTGACAGCTTTTCACTGTGGGTGAAATGCATTACTGTGCAGAAATCAGCATTGTTGAAATACTGAAAATAGCACTTACTTTAAATTCTCAGAGTAGGATTTAAGTGCAGCATAGGCTCTGTGCCTGTTGTGTATGGGAGTGAGTGTCTCTGTACTGATTAATGTCTATTGATTTGCAGTTGGACCTTTAGGAATGTGTTAAAAAGTAGTCTTGTGGAGCCACTTTTGTCTTCTCACTGTATGTTCATGTAGCAGTACAGGAAGAGACCTGAAGCATGTATGAACATCAGTGATTTGTAGGCCACACGAGTGAAATTCTCCAGAGGCATCAGCGGTCAACAGGTGCTAGACTTCTGCTGAAATGCAAATGGGAGTGAAAAACCTGACACTTGTCTTTTGAAAGCCTTTTGAGTAGCCTTTGGCTCAGCCAGGTACTCAGCTCAGCTGCAAGCCCTGGCTGAGTCAAACCAAACTATCTCAGTGCACACTTCCTGCTTTCATTGGGGTGGTTGGATAGAGTTGTCTCCATATTAGTGTTCCATGTACCCTTTCTTGTTTCCACTCTGAGCACTGGCTATTTTTTGCACACTACTTGGCTGTGTTAGCAATTGCATGTGCCTCTATGAAATGTTTGCCCACAACGTGCCACAGCCAACTAGAAAATGTACGCACAACAATGCATTTTGTAAAAGTAATTTAAAAGAGTTCACTATCTTTCAGTCTGGTTAGGTAGCCTAGATTGAAGGTGAAACTGTAATTTAGCAATCTGTTTGTTTATGGAGAGGTATCATATTGGTGGTAAGTGAAAAATACAGGTCAGTTTGGAGACAGATGATTTGTACTGCAGATTTTTTGCAAAGCTGCACCCTTGTAGCATGTAGGAAGGGTGTAGAAAAACACTTTGATTACTTCCCACTACTCAGCAGATGCCGAGAGTTTTATTAGGTTTGAACTGAGCTCCCGTTTCAATGAGAAATGCACGTTTACCTGAAAGTAGGCTTTGAATCATTTTGCAGCAAGAAAGCAATTGGGAAGGGCTGCAAATTCTCATGACAGTTTAGTAAGATTTTTGTATTCTTGATGAATGTCTGAAAGCTTCAGAGTTTTGTTTACAAGTTGTAGATAACTGCAACAAGCAAAACATAGCTTTAAATGTTTGCCTATCAACAACCAGTGCTAACAGGCCTAAGTACATTTTAGATCCAGTGCTGGTGGCTGTGGTCTCTCTGCACAATTGCTTTTGAGTGTCAAGAAGATCCTCTGTCAAGTTTGCTGGAGAGAACTGAGGCAGTTTCTGTCTGGGCAGTCTCACCATCTAGCAGATATCAAAATGGATAAAATTGTTGACTATTCTTGCTTGTAATTTAATATTGTGCTAGTTGTCTAGCAAAAGAAGACCTAGATCTCATTGCTCCTTTTCAGTAATAAGAAACATCTTACCTAGGAAACAATGTTCTTTTTATTTGTCAAAAAGACGGTTTTATATAATTCTATTTCATGACCCAGTTGTTCTCAAGAACTTGTTGAATTAAATGTGCTCTATTTAGAAAAGCTTTATTATCTCTAGAATAAGTTTAATCCAACAATACTATTAATGTGCTGGCAGCTTTAACTGAGTTTGTTGTTTGTATATTGCAGTTCATCTGCATTTACTCCTAACCAATAAATTCCACTAAGTTAATAACACAGAGTAAGGCCTGTAACTTAATGCTTCCCTGGCATGTATTTCTGTCAGACCATCTGTAAAATATCATCTGGTCAGGTCATGGTAAAATTCAATATATATGACAGCTCTCTTTAGAATTAATTTATATTTTATTTTTTCTTCCCTCTTTTTTTTAATGTTCTAGATAAGAACACTTATATTCCCAGAGGTGTGCCTGTTTAATTCACACTAGCAGCCCTGAGGGCTGTGATACAGGCTAATTATTGATGAAGCAGTTTTACTTCCCCCCCAAACCTCAGTGATCTCTGCGCTTCAGCTAGCACTCCTTGCCTGCCAGGAGCTGCAGGTACTGTTGGGAAGGACTGAAATGACCACCAGATGTCAGTGGTCTTCCAGGGCTACACTTTGGCATGCCTCTGAGATGTGCAGGAAAACACTAGTTTTCACAAACAAAATGTTTGTGATCTCAGCATAAGATGGATGTGAGCATCATCATCAGACTAGCAGTCTCGCAAGAGCTCTTGAAACAACTGCTTTGGTCTGCTACAGGCTGGTTCTCTGGTACCTATCATTTTTGCTTGTGTGTAGTTTCTACACTGGATAAATAAGAGGGCAAAGCTGAAATAATTTTTCACATTAAAATGAATGTCACTGAACAGCAATTGTCATCTGCAGGATTGAACGTGGATAAAACTTCTACTGTGGTAAAGTTTGGATCCCTAGTTTAATTCATGTCTGTTAGTTCAACTATTTGATAGCCTACTTATTTTCTCTGCCCTGAAGTACTCTGCAACATCACTTTCTGTACAGGTGGCAGCAAAAGGCTTATCCGTGATTAAATTCCTCAAAATAGGATGAGATTTAGAAGCACATATGCTGTATATGGCTCTTTGTGCAGGATAGCTTTTGTGTGGTGCGTGTGAAGTTTCTTTTCAGCCTGGCTTATTTTCTTTGCTGTGGTACCTCTGTATACCATTTAGATCGGATACACAAGCAATCTTCTGGTTTTTGTTTACTGTTTGCTCTCATATCACAGATATATTTCATATCATATCTTTGTATGTGGGACCTGCACAATAAACATCGATTCTAAGACCACTTTCTAGGCTGGTTTATGTCTTCTGTATCAGTAAAACAAAGCACATTTGAGGATCACACAGCATTGCTGTAAGGAGTTTGATGCTATTCAAGGAGAGATGCCTCTGATATTTCAGTTTAAAGGGTGTTCAGCAGATTGCCTTGCATGTATCTGGAAACAACAGTTACAATGATAGTTTTCTTTGGTTGTCTGTCTGAGCTGTATATGCATGAGGCTCAACAGAAGCCATTTAATAATGTAAAAAGCCCATTTAAAGAAGGGCAAGCAGTTTTTGTGTTTTCAATTAATCCATACCAAAAAAACCCCCCACTTCCCTTCTGAGTGTGACCCTGATTCTTGGCTTACATTGTTGAGCTGCAGAAGCTGGGGCTCCTTTCTGTAAGGTGCATGATAAACACGTAAGCTGTGTCCACACTGACATTGTCCTTAATGAGACCAAGCAGTGTGCCCCAACCAGTGTTAGTCTGGCCATAAGCTTTTTTTTTTTGCTTTTTTTTCCTTTGTCTTGCACGGTAGCAGTCTGCATTGGACCTCCTTCCTTGTTAAGCAGAGGGACAGGCGACAGTACGTGGGGCTTGCATGTATTTCCTCTCAGTATTTCGAAAGTCGGCAGAGCTGCTAGGATCGGGTAGGCAGCTGGTAGAGCTTGAGTTTCAGGAGATTGTGACACCTGTGGTCTATGGATCAACTTTGAGGTAGCCTTGATGTTAGCATTAATTGGAAGTTTACACAGAGCCCTTGCTGTGAAAAGCTTATGTCTAAATAGGCAAGAGGAGCAAGAGTAAATGGGAAGGTAAGTACGGTGAGTATAATACCTTGTCCCGATTCACACAGCCATACGACCACTTTTGTGTATCATATTTTTAAAGACATTTTTTACTTAAGTCTTAATTTTATGAGAGCAAGGAGCTACTAAGGTTTAGAGAGCAGATTGGCATGCCCTAATTCGTGAGGATTAGAGATAGCAGTAGACAGAAAGTAGGTGAAAAGTAGTGGATCTAGCTAACTGGAGCACACTGTGCTCTGCAATAAGGCATGTGACGTTATTTTTTGCTGAGGCCTCCTTATTAAGTTTATCTCTCTGTTTAGCTGATGTTAGACAAAGAGGTGTAAGGTTGTGCTTAGGCAATTTATAAGATGTGCTAAGGAAGTCAAAAGCATGTAGAAAAATCCCAAACAAAATATGTTTTTTTTTCCCTCCTTTCTTTAAAAAGAAATTTTTAGTTTTGGTGCAGTACCAAGTCACAAAGTCAGGCACTCAAAACTCAGGAAATTCCAGAAGCCAGATTTCTTACAACACTGTTAACTCACTCATACAGTACTTCAGTAACATTTTTATTTCTGTTTTTCTTTCTAAGTTACAATCAGGGTGCTTTATTTAACATGAAGTTAAAAATGTTGCAACATAAAATTGTTAAACTGTGGATAAGCTTAGTGTTGTGGGAAGAATCTGTTGGAATTTGCAGAACTGAAGTCCTAGCTATTACCATCTAAGCTTTACATCAGCATTAATTTTTACTACAGTTTAAAATACTCATAAATAATTGTATAAAAATGTATTGTGTAAACTAATACATAATAGCATAAAACAATATTAATCTACTTTATGTATATTAATATATTAATCTCCTTTATATATATTCTATATAATATACCTATTTATCCCTTCTATATTTCTTCTGCTAAAAATGGCTAACTGACAATTATGTATATTACTATATTATTTATATTTATAAAATCCAGCTTTAAAGCTAAAATGATGAAAATTTGGTTGATTTATTTCAAATTAACACAATGAGAATCGTCCTTTATAGTTCAAACTCAGTGCTTTATTATGTGCAATTTTTGAGATCCTTTGTAGGACTGAAGACATTGCCTAAATCCCGCTGTGAAGGCAGGTATAGTTCC